TGTATAACAGTCTTTTGCAAAGTGACCTAGTCGACCACATTTGTAACATTTAATTTTGCTAACATCTTTGGTATCTTTGTTATCTTTTTGTCTAGAGGTGTTTTTATAGAATTTCTTTTTAGGTCTAGACTTTTCTTTAGAATAGTATTCATTTTTGGGGAATACTGATTTTCTATTCTTGTAATTCCTACGATAACCTTTGTGACTGTTGTAGGTTTTCTTGTAGGGCTTGGAGTTTTGTCTTGAGGGAGCTATAGGAGGAAGACTATGCTGTTCACAAAAGGTTCCCATTTCATATTTAAGTCGTTTCCTATCATCTTGTAACTGGTTACTGATTTTCATGTCAATACACATCCTTAATCCTTCTTTTTGGATTAAGCTAATGATATTGCCATAAATGAGGTTATCATAATCAATGTTACTTGTGGCTTTACTAAGAGTATCTCTAATTTTGTGGGCAAAAAGATTGGGTAGGCCATTAATGAATTTTTCTTTCCAAAATGGTTTATTACTATCATCTCTAAGCATGACTTTGGAAAGGAATACATCTTTGTACCATCTAAAATCACTCATGGTTGGACAAGTAAGGTTGGTAAGCTGGTTGTGTATTCTGGAAGTGATGTTACTTGGAGTACCTATGAAGTGTTCAACTATGGTATAGACTAGCGTGTTAACTCCATCAGGAATACCACGTCCTATGGTTTCATCAAAGATGGGAAGGCCATTGTTGTCTTTTTGGACTGCATTTTTTATCTTGTCACAAGAATCTTCAGTGAGATGTTTTTCCCACCATGATTTTAACATTCCTGAAAATCCCGAAGTAAGTAAATCAACGATTTCCGGTTGACTAAGGTTATGTGAAGTAACATAATTATTAGCTACCATGGATATATGACTGAGTTTATTGAGAATTTCCTGTTCAGATAAACCATTTATATTCCATTCATAAAGTTTATCGAAAGAAATGGAAAATTGATTTTGAATATTTCGTTCTTCATATTGGAGATCAGGAGGTATCGGTCTTGGGTACCAATTTTTGGTAAGACTAATGGGGTTGACACGTTTATTAGTTAAACGATTGAGGTCTAGATTGGAGAAAGCATTCTCAATCTTCTGGATGTCAGAGGGGTAACTGGAATTATCAGAGGAGAAACTATCAGAATCGTCAGTATTATTGATTACAGTGATAATTTTTTCGTCTTTGACTTGGGATTTACCTTTTTCAAGGGTTTTGAGGATGGTTTCAATTTGGAAGACAATAGAAGGATCCGGCAAGGCTGTTGGAAGACCTTTTCTGTGTGTAGGCATAGAAATAATGGGTGTTTCCATGGAAGAAGTAGTAGGAGTTTTTACTGGAAAATTGGGAGGTTGGGCTAATGAGAGCTCAATTCTGTCTAGTTGGGTACCAAGAGTGTGTAAATACTGGTTAGTGAAGTTATTTTGTTCAATTATTTTCCTTGCATCAGCATCAGCTATGGTACTGACTTTTAAGGGAGAGGCAATGATTTTAGCTCCCATGTGATCAAGAATCACATTTTCTAGGGGAGGATGGGAAGAGGAGATTGTTGTTGTATCAGAGGTTTTCCAATTAACTTTAGTTAGGATGTTGACTTTGTTATGACAGTTTTCTAGATAATCAAAAATTTTGATTTCTAGCTGATGTTTTATCATGAATGTTTGCCAATGACGGAGAATCTTATTTTGTTCTTTTTCAGTATGGGTTTTGCGAAAAGATTTTCGTTTTTCTTTGTTACTTGGGGATGAGTAGTCATCATGTAATTTTGAAAGATTATACTTAAAAGGTTTACTAATAGTATTTAACTGAGGGTTGAGGGTTCAGTGCATTAAGGTTTGCAATAAAATCAGAAGGTGTAGGAGAGGCAGGTGTAGACCTAGATTTGTTAGATTGGGGAGTAACATAACAAGGGTGAGTAACTTGTTCTTCTATTTGAATACCTTTTAACTTAGTATCTTTTGGCTGGGGATGAAAACGAGAATTTTTCCTATCTAGAGGAGGAACTTCACTTTTCTTGTCCAATAAACTACCATCTGGTCTATCAAAGGAGGTAGAAAGACGTGAGCGAGTCAGAATACGTTGTTCATCAAAGCTTATTCTGACTGTTCCGTCAAGAAATTCCTGCACTCTATCAAGATTACTAATATCATTATTTATTTTGACTGGGTGATTCTCATTCTCAAGAGTCCATTTATTGGGCAGTGAAATATCTTTCCAAGCAATAGTTTTCTTTATTTGAATATTAGCGTCAGGGGTACTGCTCTCAATCAGTAGGGTATGACTTTTTATATCTTTCTTAATGGCTTTGACATTAAGATTAGTTTTCCTTGTTTTATAATAAATCCTATAGATCAAACCTAAAGGTTGTGATCCTGGAAGCATAGGATAACCTGATGTTTTAACATTAAGGGTTAAGGCGTCACTTAAACTAAGAGTTAGATCTGGGTAACAATTAAAATGAACTGGGCCATTACAAAGACTAGTTTCAACTATTCCTAAGAGACTAGTTTCGTAGTCAGTAAACCTAGCATCTCGGAGGGCTAGAAACACAGAGGCATTAAGTCCTGTATTGGTTAATGGTTTGACTGCTACTTGAACTAGACCTATGTGGATGAAGTTGTATCCAAGATCTCTATGACTTTGGATTGCCTTAGCTGTGAGTAACTGACATTTTTCATGTTCTCTAGATAGGGAATACATTTGTTCAACTGTCTTGACTGTGTAATCACTAAGAAAGGTAGACTTAAAGAAACTGGTTTTGTAGAATTCTCTAGTTGGAACTCTGGGAATATTCCAATCACTAAAGTCTAAATTAGTATTTTCAATTCGATACTCTTCTTCATTGATCTAGAGCTTCAATTCGATACTCTTCTTTATTTTAAGTTATTGTGCGTTGTATATTATATATATAATATACATATATATAATATGTATCTGCTTCTCATCCTTTTCCCCTCACCAGAGAAAAAATATATTTCTAATGCAAATCATTTCAGCCTCCCCAATCGCCTCCATCTCTATTCTCGTTCTCAACTCTGATCCCCCCCCCCCCCCCCCCCCCCACTCTTTCTCTCTCCAACTGCAAACTACAAAATCAACAAGAATCAGAAGTTCAAAACCCTTATTGCAAATATTTTTAGGGCAAATCATTTCAGCCTCCCCAATCGCCTCCATCTCTATTCTCGTTCTCAACTTTGAAATTACCCCCCCTCTCTCTCTGCAACTGCAAACTACAAAATCAACAAGAATTTTATCGTTCAAAACCCATATTACAATAGAGAAGGAGAGAGAGAGAGAGAGAGAGAAGAAGAATCCGTTCCTAACCAAGAAAAACCAACAAGATCGGATGATTTTCCCGGAATTTTTCTCTCTCTATATTGTATCAGACAAGGAGAGAGAGAGAGAGATGCAAGTGGGTGATGATTTGTGAGAAACGGTACCGTTTTGGAAAATGAGAGACTTGCCAAAAAAAATTGGCAACTGCCATGTATGAGAAGAAATTTGAGAATCTCAAATTTTGAGAGCTCAAATAAGAGCCCGTTGAAGAGGCCATTTTTTACCCAACTCACGTATTTTGAATTTGAGAGGCCCAAATGAGAGAACATTGGAGTTGCTCTTAGGGTGATTCTTTTGATATAAAAGTTGAGATTTCATGGAATTGTAAATCTTCTGGACACTTGGACAAACTTTTGCTTAGAGCCCAACCAAGAATGGCCATTGAAGCCCAAGACAATCTCTCTCTTAAAGAAAGATGAAAAGGCTAAAAAGGAGATTAGGGATGTAGTCGATACCCAAAAAGAACTAGGTCTCGGATATTGACTAACGAGGATTATGGTCCAACAGTGTCTCTTCTTAAATGGTTGACTGTTCAAATTCTCATAGAAAAAATGAAAAATACATCAATTTGATCATATTTATTCTGAAACTATATAATTTATTCAAAATTTGGACCCCAAAAAAGGTAACCACAATATCCAATACAAGTCAATCAGCACTCCACCAAGTGGGTCTTAGATTTTCTGGCAAGTGTAAAATTATGGCCCATTAAGGATTTGGATCCTAAACTTCCCATGTGATGTAAAGAGGAAGAAAGGAAAATCTTCACTACAATTGTGATATCAACAAAATAAAATATAATGCGTTTGTTTGCACGCACTTTTTTATATAACATGGAGCAAGACAAAAGACTAAATATACTTGGGAGATATCCAATTCTAATTCAAACCACCGATTCATACTCCCAAACATATCATGAGTGTGGCCATTTTTCTTCCTCGAAAAAATGCTTCCCGGAGTTCTAATATTAGAGTGAGTCTCATCGGGACACTGTGAGATAGATAGTTGTTGGATCGAGAGACTGATCTCAAAGCCTCTTGATCCAATAGCCATGAGTGATCCAGCTCCGTGAAAGCTCCCCCATTATAACTTATTTTTCATTTCATACATGAACTATGAACACTGAACACACAATAAACAATTCTATTTTAAAACTGACTAAAACATGTCCACCACCAGAAATCCATCATGGTTCTAATACTGAAAGCAAACATACATCAATTTTATATTATATGGTATAGAGCATATACCACGAGTGAAGCATGTACCTTCTTTGGTTGTAGACTTGTAGGAGTTGTTTTACAAAGAATCTTGACTGTACATCAACCTTAATACTTAATAGAACGGCTTGTTAACCCTTTGCTTTTTTAGCAAAAGTGAATAACAAATTTCAGACCACCTTTCTGCATATATAGTGAGAATTAAGAGCATTTCAAAAGGCCGATTAGCTTTGTGCTCAAAGAGGCCTGGATACCTCCTACTTAGCAAAAAAATGTATATATATATAACATTGAAATATAAACTTTTTAAAACATTAGTCAAGAGAGATTAAAATCAACTTGAATGTTAAACTATTATTTGAAGTCTAATCAGAACTCACAATGATATTGTGGTATGGACCTATAATAAGCATTATTCAAGAGAGAGATTGAAATGAAATTGTATGCTAAACTATTATTTGAAGTCTAATCAGAACTAACAATGATACAACTCAACATACAGCTGTTAAAAGAACGGGATATTTCACAAGAGTCAAATGTGTAAAAGAGAAAATTGAGCAATAAATGCCCTCTAGCCAAATGAAAGGTGGCACAGCTTGTGCGCAGACTTGTATTGACAAGCCCCACAATTGATTAAGATATCAAAAACATGGACCTGGACTGAAATCAGAATATGTATATAGACCTCACCTTAAAAATACTTGAAAGAAGCTCTAGCTGGCAAGAAATACATGTTCCAACTCCAAGCTGCTTGAACTCTCCCAAGAACCATGTCAGATTCCATTCTCACTACCCATCATTATGTAGACATTGAAACCCAAGAATGATGAATCAGTAAACCAATTTTAGATTAACAAAAAAGAAGTCAATCAATTCTACCGCTTCAGACCAAACAACCCCAAACTCAAGTAACTGTCTTTTCTTCAGCAGGCTTCACACTCTTACCTTCTTTTGTTTCTATGCTCCTCTCCACCATTTCTACTTCCACGGTTTCTCTGGCATTCCCCGATATCTCTTCCCTACCTTTACTGGAATTCTCTTCTATCTTTTTATTATTAGCTTTTCCAATACTATCAACTGTCATTTTTTCCTTGACTTCGTCATTCTCCACAATATCCTCCTCCTTCACATCTGTTATTACCTGAAGAAGCTCCAAAGGAGTAGCTGCAGGATCCAGCTCGTGACAACCCTTGGGAGCATTTGGAGCTTCTTGACCTGTAAGTAAGTAAGAAGGGACATGATGAGAAAACCGAAACAACTCTTCTCTAGGAATCCTCCTGACTTCCCGGGGGTCCAAATGCCGATGGAACAGTGTCTTGAAACCAGCAACTTTGACAAGTGGAATAACAGTCACACCTAGCTCCTCATCATAGTCTTCGAATACTTCCACCATGTCATACTTGTGTATTATTTCATCTGCTGTCAGCTCATTCCATTCAGGGGACCAATTCCTATAGAGAGCCCAAGCATCCCCCTTCCTAGGAAATATTTGAATAGCCCCACGTGTGCCTTTTGTCCACCTAACTTTGTGTGAGAAAGAATTCAGCGAGTCATTAATTTCGTGTTTGCCTACTCTAAAATACCCACATGTTTTTGAGAAACCAGAACCAACCCAATTCAGTGGGCCCAGTTCGTCATTGGTTTTTGAATTTAGCCAACTAATTCGCATCTTGAACGGTTTCATAGAAATCACATTATGAATCATTGCATAATACCGGGGCATGCCATCATCATCATCATATGCAGCCCATACCTGGTTCTCCCCGAAACACCTTTCAGTTCGATCCTTGTCAAAATCATGAAAATCTGGATCTGGGACATTGATTGACATTGGTTCAATAGGTTCCTTAAGTGAAGCACCAGAAGGACCAAGATCAGACTCATTGGTATAAATTGCTTTCTTGGTGTCAATAGACTCACCTGACTTGTTTTTATCCTGTGTGGAACCATTTACCGCGGCATTGTCTTTTCCTCTACCTTTCTCCCTCATATTGTCCTCCTTTATAACTTTAGATTTGGCCACAGAAACCGAGTTCCATTCATGTAGCTTCTTGCGAATTTCCTTCTTGGCTTTTTCCACCAATAAATTCTGACTTTCAGTATGGGAGATATCCCTTGTATTGGTAGGCTTATTAACCCTACCTGGTTCAGAATTAACCTGTTTAAGTCCAGACGAACTTGTCGTGCCAGCTCCCGCTGTCCCCATGCCCATTTGATTCACATTGTCCTTTCCATAACCGCTGGCACCAAGATCTTCTAAGCCTCTTCTTCTCTTCACAGCATTAGAGAACCCAGATGATGAAACACCACCTGTTTTCTTAGAAGCATGATTTTTTCTACGCGATGCCTCCTCTCTTTTTGTGGCTGCCTGTGCCTCCTCACGCTCTCTCTTCACTCTCTCATATGCCTGCTGAACCACAGTTGCAGCTTGAGCAGCAGTTGAAGCACCGCCTGTTTTAGAAAATGGACCCCATTGGAAGTTATTGTTATTAGATGAATCAGGATCACCAAAGACCCCTGAACCCACATTTGAAGTGGCCGAGTTCTTTCTTCCAGGATTAGATATGTTCTTCTTCACTCCCTGATGATTCGTGTTCTGTTGCTGACGAGAATGATTTCCCTGGGTGGATGCTTTAGAACCACTGGAAGGAGGCGCTGCAGTTTCTATTGCAAAAAAAGGCTCATGACAGTTTGGGCACAGTAGATTGTGGTTGAGATATACTCTGAGATACTCGTACTGCATCTTACATTTATGGCATACGGTCCAAAAGGTAGCAGGTTTCTGCTTCTTAACGGGAATGGAAGAAGCACCCACCTTGGTGGTTGTAGCTTTCTGAACTTTCACGTGTGAAGGTGCGCTCTTAGTAAAATTGTAAAAACCAGTTGTCCCAGGTGGTGCTGATGGAGTCCCGCCTGGAGGTGGAACTTTCTGCTGAAATACTTTTGGATTCCTCTTCTGGTCATATGCTAATCTCTTGGTTTTATCAGATAGTAAACTCCATGCCTCTGAAATGAACTTAAATGCCCCTTCAGCCCCTATAGACTTGTTTTTATCAGGGTGAAGCATGAGAGCCAGCTTCCTGTACTGTTTTCTCACTGTCTCCTCATCAGCCAATTGATTCACACCAAGTATACCATACCAATCTGCTTCCCCATTTATCTTGTTCTCTGCAGAGATATACACGTCGAGTGTTGCTAACATTTGTTGAATACCCTCAAGCCCAGGATATAAAGTCTGGGCCTTCGTAGCAAATTTCTTTGCCCCAGCAATATCTTTTGACATAAACTTCTTCTCAGCAATTTCTTTTGCTCTCGAGGCCTCATCTCTATTGCATTCCATTTCCCCCACAATCTTCTTCTATGCTTTCCTCACATGAGCCAACCACTGAAACAAACAACCCTAAGCCAACCCACTATTTGATTCCACAAATTTTGGGTATCTCACTCTTCAAAAGATAAACTGCGACGTATAGTCCAAATCCTAATTCAAAAAGACATATACAAATAATCCAAGTAAGAAAGCAACGTCTAGCATAGATGCAAATACAGTAACACATCAGATCAAGTCAAACACAACTAAGCTTTTTCTAGTTCATCAGTTCTACAATGCAACCACGTGATACAACAAATTTTAAACGATTGAATTCAAAGAAACATAATCGAGTTCACAAATATCTCAAATGTTAATGCAAATTGAGAGTAGCACTACAACACACCCACAGTTAATGTAAAATCAAAACCCTAATTCTTTGTACTTAGTTATTTTCTTGGACCTCAAAAATGGCAACTAACCTAACGGATACTCAAAAAATAAAATTCATTAAACATGAACAGAGAAACATGAACTAGAGCATTACAAGAACCCAGTAGTCATTCAACAAAATTTAAATCATTTGAATCCAGAATTACATAATTGAGTTCACATACATCTCAAATGTTAATGCTAATCAAGAGTAGCACTACAACACACCCACAGTTAATGTAAAAGCAACACCCTAATTCTTTGCACTTTGTTATTTTCCTGGACAAGCCACTAAGCTAACAGATACTTGAAAACGAAAAAGGGAAAACATTAAACATGAACAGAGAAACATAAACTAGAGAATTACAAGAACCCAGTGCTCAAATGACTGTAAAATTCAACAAACTTTAAATGATTAGAATCCAGAGAAACATAATTGAGTTCACATATATCTCAAATGTTAATGCAAATCAAGAGTAGCACTACAACACACCCAAAGTTAAGGTAAAAGCAAAACCCTAATTCTTTGCACTTTGTTCGTTTCCTGGAACTTGAAAATGGCCACTAAGTTAACAGATATTCAAAAAACAAAAATATTAAACACGAACAGAGAAACATGTACTAGAGATTAACAAGAACCCAGTGCTCAAATGACTGCAAAATTCAACAAATTTATATCATTTTAATCCAGAGAAACATAATTGAGTTCGCATATAGCTCAAATGTTAATGCAAATGAAGGGTAGCACTACAACACAGCCACAGTTAATGCAAAAGCAAAACCCTAACACCAACAGATACTCAAAAATGGCCACTAAACTAACAGATACTCAAAAAAGAAAAATCATTAAACACGAACATAGAAACTTATACTAGACAATTACAAGAACCCAGTACTCAAATGTCCGAAAATTTCAATTCAAACAACACTATAATAAATGGATCTACGTGAGCCAATATGTTAATCAGCTCAGACAGCTACAATTCACCGATCAAAAACCCTAATCTAATTCATCAAAAACAAAATCCTAAAACCAGTGATCAGTACATGGCAATAACTAAAAAGAGTATAAATATGAAGTAGAGTGCATATGAGAAAGAGAGAGAAATACCGAAATGAGAGAGGGGCGTCGTTGGTGATGAAATTGAATCGCAGAGCCACCATGGACAGACCACCCTCCAACCCTTAAATTTATTTTTGAACTTTAGCCCCTCTTTTCTCACCCAAATCCCAAAAATCCCCAAAACTGGAGTTTTTCTCAAAAACTCTCGATAAACGTTTCAAATAACAAATCTCAGGGGCACGAAAAGATGACAGCAAAGAGGCTTTCCTTGTCTCGAGAACATTTGGTCCATCTACTAACAACCTTTTTTCTCTCATTGGTTGGATTTGGAAACCCTAACCATGGTTAAATTTTAACTCTTCAAGTGGGTTAAGAGCTGGCGTTACTAGAATCTTCACATATTTTTTGGTATTGACACTAATGCTGGTGGCACTTAAGCAGCCCTAACCCGAACAACCCAAGTCTCGAGGGATCGTAATTATTTTACGATCATCCAAATAATTTTCAAGATCATGAGATTAGAATTGAGTTTAAATCTTTTTTTTTTGATAAGTAGAATTGAGTTTAAATCTTAGATTACGAACTTATTTTGAATAGGATTTTAACAAAATTTTCTTATTTCAAGTAACTTGAATAACGTTATTGATGGTTATTAATCTAACTTGGAATAGAATTGCTTTTAAGAGTTTGGAATAAAAAATATAATAATTGATTTTAAGTTAAATTTACAAATAAAATAATAGAAAATTATAAAATGTTAGTTCTTTCCAAATTCTAATATAAAGGAATACTATTTAATTTCACAAGTTTGAACACGATTTTGTTAGCTAGACCTTTGGTGATAAAGTTATTTTATGGTTTTAAATGAAATTTTCAAAAATTTTAAGAATTGCAATCAAGTTTGGTTTGTGATAAGATTTTGTTAGGGAATTTTCTTAACTCGAGCAACTTGAATAATAATTTAGTAATCCAATCAACTTTAATAGTGTTGTTGGTAGTTATTCTGTAACCGGTAGGCGTTTGTCCATTTATTTAAAAATTTAAACTGTTTGGTAGTGTTGCATACCCACCTATTCATACTCAATCACTTTCTCATCTGGATTCAATGTGGACAAATCTCTCTTTATAACATTCTCCCTCACTCGAACTCGGAACACCCTTATTGCGGTCGGGCCACCCTACCTATCAGAGTGACTCACTTGGATGCCTTCTAGACTGGGCGCTTGACGTGGCATCGGATCAAGAATTTGTCTGACTCTAATACCTACTGTAATGGGTGGGTGCTTGCCCATTTATCAAAAAGTTCAAGTTGTTGGGTAATGTTACATACTCACCCATTTATACACAATTACTTTCCTATCCGGATCCGATGTGGGACAAATTGTTAGAGAAATTGCACGTAAATTAAAAGACACTAAGAATAATACATCTACTTTTATTCATATACAATGAATAATACATCAACATGAATTGATATTAATGTAAGCAAAAAATTAATAGTCTAACAATAATTAATTAATATTTAGTTATCCATATATTTGAATGAATAGTCACCTGTATATTGAAGAGTTGTGTTGTTTTGTTGAAGAGTCACATATGAAGAGTTGTGTTGGTTAATAGAACCAACACACCTTTTAACGTCTACTGGAACGGTCTCAACCCTCATCTATATATATGCATAGAAGTTTGGAGTCTATCATCCTGTATGCAATGAAAGATAAAAGGGTTGAAGGTCGTCTCCTATATGATATAAGTAAGGTTTCCGCTGTAATTCCCTTAAATAGATTTTCATATCAGGTATGTCTTCTTTATCAAATTTATGCATTGGAACCATGTTTTCTATTTATGTTAGAATTTTCTTACATGTGGTATTAGAGCCAACATAGACTTTGATGCATAAATTTGATTTATTTGTTAACAATATATTGTTAATAGTATAGTATGAAATTTATATGCAATACATGTTTGAGATGGAAAAGGATACAGATATATATGTATATATATACTCTGTTTTTCATGTACACGCATATATACACACTATGTATGCGGGAAAATATCAAATATTTTAGTACAATTATATTATATTACAAACATGTATGTCCAAGATCTTCAAAATTGATATTGATATATACTCTGTTTTATGTGCATGCAAATATATTGATATATATATATATATATATATATATATATATATATATATGTACGTTATTATTTTGGGACAAACATTTGTATAATAAGATAATGCATATGCAGGTACTGAATATGAAATACATGAATAGTTTTTATACAATTGTTATCATAGTTGTTTTAACGTGGATGTGTTGAACAACAACGTGAATGTAATTTTGGGCATTCATGTCTCTATAAGAGTGTCACATGTTGGACAAAAGCTGTGACACTTATAAAGACATGAACATATTATTGAAAGAACTGTCGCTTCTTTACGTTGGGTGGCAACATGAATTTTTAACATTCATGTACCAGTGTAACTAGTGTTACGTATATATATATATATAGATGTCATGTCTTTTGAATTTCAATCAATAGTCATGTCTTTTGGGTTTAAACCAATAGACATATCTTTTGGGTTTTAACCAATAGGCATAGGCATGTCTTTTGGATTTTAACCAATAGACATGTCTTTTGGATTTGGTTATGCACGTGGTATTCTAGAGGTATTTTGCTATAGACCCATAGCAAACTCAATTAGAAATAATTATATGACAAATTTTTGTCCTGAAATTCTTTATTTTATAGCATGTATAAATTTTAAGGCTTGAGATATGATTTAGAACTTTAATAAATTTTCATAAATATGCCATTTTTATTAAGTTATCATCACTAGTTGTAATACCCCTAATTTTAAAAGGATAGTCCGGATATTTATTTAATTGTTTAATTGCGATTTATTTTATTTTATTTGAGAATTTGGTGATTTAATTTATTTATTTATTTGTTGTTTAATTGGATTTATTTTATTTTATTTGACTTAATTATATTTTTCGTTAGATGTGTTTTATTAAATTAGGTTTTTAGAGGTCATGTAGGTAGCCGACATAACTAAACATTAACTAGGTTTTCCATGGACCGAGTTTTCAGTTTAGGGTTTAATTAAACTAGGGTTTTGGTGTAAACTTATAAATATATGTCTTACATTCGGTTTAGGGTTTTAGAACCCTATTCACGATATAAAGAGAACAGAGAGAAGCATAGAGGAGTCTGGGAGAGAACAGAGAGGGAAAACCAAAAGATCACCGGAAAAGCTTAGGAGAAGATGTTGAGATTTTTGAACCGAATCCCATAGGCAAGTTTTATACTAACTCTATCTCTTTGGCCTGTGTTCTTTGCATTCCTAATACAGTCCTAGGAAGAGATTAATATAAATGAATTTGGTTGCCCTGTTATTTACTTCAAAGCAGTATGTCTTTCTCTATGTGAATGTTAATTGTTTATAAACTGTTTTTGCTTATTGTTATTCTGTCATGCGTAATTCTTGTTCCAATTGAATTTAATTAGTGACTAATGAATTTAAATTACTCTGGAGCACCTTGGGATTTGGTTTTAACTAAAAAGAAAGTTGGTTTGAAGGATTAAACAAAATCTATACAGTACGTATTCATGGTTTTGGTTTTGGCATGCGGAAACTGTTTTTGCTAAATTCTTATTCCAATTGACTTTGGTTAATAAGTAATGAATTTAATTAACTCTAGATCACCCTAGGATTTAGTTTAATCAGTCAAATCATAATTAAAAGTGTTAGAGGCTGTAACAGAGAGGAACGGAAACAATGGAGCTCACCGGAGACGAAACAAGCAATCAGAGAGAAAGGGGGAAGAAGAGGGGGCTCAATGGAAACATAGAGCCGGCTCAAAGAAAGTTGGAGGCGGCTCCAACAATGTTTGGAGCCGGCTCCATCATTTTGGAGGCGGCTCCAACTTGGTTGGAGGCGGTTCCTTCAACGGTTTTCAGTTTTTCGCCTTTTCAGTGATGGTTTTGGCTACGGGTTTTAGAATTTGGTGTTTCCAGATACTATTAGGAGCTATGCAGGGATGTTCTAGTAGCATCTAAGTCCTATTAAAAATTCTGAGGGAGTGATAATACATAATAAATTACAAAGAAATCGGTAGTTTTAAACCGTTATAGTTTCAAATGAACTTGTGGACTGTTTTAGAGGCAGAGGATTTTAAGTGCATAACCCTATGAGTTGCAATTTTATCTGGGAATGGGAATATTGTTTAATCATGTTTCTGTAATTTAAATTAAGCATATTAGATTACAGAATGATTATAATCGAAATAAATGACAGTAAGTCACTTTTAAGGAAGTTTACATGGTTGAAATTTTGCAGACGATTCAAGTTGTTTAATTCTAAATTAGCAATTGAATTAGGGGTTTTATGTTTAAATCATGTAACAATGGTATGAGTTTAAACATGTCAGTTTATATAAATTCTGTTATCATATAATCAGAAATTAGTTGATGTTTACAAAGAGTTCTTTATATCAACTTATTGGATGTTATGGAGTAGGTATCAATAAGCGTGTTAATTCTGTTATTATTATTATGCTTGTTGTGAGTTACAGGATGGTTATATTTATTCTCTGCATTTAAAACATGTTAGAAAATCAGGTACTGGATGTATTGAACAAGCATGCTAGTTAAACATTCTTGTTATGCTTATGATTTGATATGTTGATATTGATATGTTATGCTGTTATATATATTATCAATACTGAATGGATGGTTTGTATGCACCGGTATGGGACTGTGACATATTAGGGGGATTAGCTCAAAAGAACGTTAAGTCCTACCTACTCTGGATTAAGGGATGGATTAACTACAAAAGTTAAGTCTTACTTGTGTTTTGTGTCAGATCACTAAATAGTTGAGTGACACTTTGGTTTGAAACGGAATTTTAATATACTTTTATGGTGCCACGATATGAGCCTGAGTCTCAAAGTCGTTGGCTAGGGAGCGTATATGCATTGGGATACATAGCTGGCTATGATGGTTAGATGTGTACCCTGCTAGGTCTAAGTAGTCATGCCCACCTCGGGTGCATTTTGCATGGTGCCTACTAGTCAGGTTGAGACGGGCCTGTAGTCCAGTGAGAGTCATGTAGTGTGATTATATATATATATATATATATATATATATATATATATATATATATATATATCTACGGACTATTAGTTACTGTTGGATTGGTTAGGATGTACATGTGTATCGGGTCTCTGCTTGGGTAGTAGTAGTATAGAACTTGCTAGTGGGCCTGACCCA